TGAATCAGGAAGTTTTCCTCCCTCACCTTAAAGGAGGCTGAAATCTACAGAGATCAGTTGCATTGATGCTAGCACAGCTCCAAGAGTTGCGTTGAGCAGTGGGTAGGACCTACACAAACAGTGGTGATCATCCGTTCTTCCAATTACAGGCAATGGTATTGTGGATTTTAAAAAAAAGAGCATAAAACATCAGGGCATTTCACACTCCATTGCATGGACTGCAAAGCAAGACAAATCTGGGACCTAAACTACTTGAGGGCGAGGGACACGTTTTCAAAACACACTGTTCCTTGTGCATGCAAGTGCTCAATCTGTTTGCACTGCTCAAATGCTGACAACCTGGCCCTACATGTTTACAGAAAGGCCATGGCTGTTTAAGACTGCAACCACATTTGGTTATTAGTTATTTAGGCAGAAGAGGCTGTCCAGAACAAAGACCAGGGCCAAATTCTGATCTCACTTAATCTGGTGTGTAGCTGGAGTAATGGCACCTGTTTAACTAAGAGCAGAATTCAGTTCCCAGCTGAAGGACAGAAGCTGGCATCGATTGTACTGTATATGACCCACACCAGGGATGGCAGAGCCCATCCTGCCTCCCTGAACAGAAGAGAGATAGCACCATGTGTATATTACCCCAGCTACTCCCATCCTGCTAAGCAGGGGGAGCAAGGGCAGGGGAGGGAGCCGTCTAAACAGGGGAACAGAGCAGTATCTGTCACAGAGAGAGGGGCACAGGACTACAAGAGCCTTCAGGCACGTGCTCTGCACCGGGGGGCCTGGGTGGGATACCTACAGCAATCAGAGCAGTTCTCAGGCACTTTGTAACAGGTGGCATCAGTCCAACGACTAAGAGAACAGGATCCGGGCACGCCGAGGTCCTGTTCCAGCCTCCCACGGGTCAGAGCCAATGGGAGGGGTTAAGGCAGCAGGAGTTGTGCTTCCCTGGATTAGCCTGCGACAAGGAGGAGTTGCTGCTAAGGCCCAGGGATGTGTTGACCTATGGTGCCCAGTGACGGCTTTGCTGAAGAAGGCGCATTTCCGCTTCTGTCCACTAGCAGGCCAGCACCAGTGCAACAGATGTAGCGCCCCCAGCCGGTGTCAGTCACTCAGGGGCAGGCCCCAAATCTGGTTGGGGGAGCAGAAGATACAGGGTTGAACCAAAGAGGAGCCAGAAGTCCCCCCCTCCCCCAAATACTTTGGCAGCCAGGGTGGGGGATCCAGGTCTGATTGGCATGTCCTGAGCCCGTCTCCAGCTTACAGCCCCGTAGCCGCAGGTGGCCCCACGGAGCGCGGTGCAGGGCCGTGGACGGCTCCCGAGGTAGACGCTCGATTTACAATCCCTTGTTAAAATAGACGTAAGGCACGCAGTCCCCGTGCTTGGCCTGGATGGAGGCTCGGAGCTCCGGCTCCAGGCTAGACAGCGCCAGAGAGCTGCAGGGAGAGGAGACGGACAGTCAGGCTTTGATTTGCTTTGCACTTCTTCACCCTGACCCTGTTGGAAGTGTCCTTGGTCTGGGTAGGGCCTTCTCTCCAGCTGGCTGGGGGGTGGGGTGGGCAGGAGGCAGGCCTTCTGCAGCCAGATCTTAACAGTGGCCATGGAAGCAAGTCACCGGCGAATATGAGCTACTCTCAGGGCAGACAGCAGAGGGGAATCCAGCCCCAGTCTGCAGCCCGATCCCAGAGCGCACAGACTCGGGGAATCCAGCCCCGTCCCAGGCCCCAATCCCAGGGCAGAGCCCTGGGGAGTCCAGCCCAGCCCCATTCTGTGCCCTGGTCCCAGGGCAGGTGGCAGAGCACAGAGACAGGGACTCATCTCCCCCCACTCAGGACAGAGCGCACAGCGTGGGGATTAGCATCTGTGCACAGGTCAGACCCTTTGGAAGGGCAGCACTGGCTGCAAGCCCTCAAGCTGACCCAGTTCCCAGGGACAGGCCAGGCCTGTCCAGAAGATGCCCGCGCCCCCCGGGGTATGCGGAGGATAGCTCGGGAGAGGGGTTCTCAGGGAGGGAGAAGCAGCGCAGCTGGTACCATCTCTGTGGGAACAGCGAGCAGGCAACCGGCACCATGAACAGGAGGCTGCAGGACAGAGAAAATCCAAGTGTTACTGGCAACAACTCAACGTCCGTTCTCGGATCAAGAGCCAACTCTCGGTGACACTGACTGCCCCCGTAAGTCACCTCTCCTGGGGGGTGCAAAGACGGAGACCCCTCGCCGTCATTTGAGCTCCCACGAGGTGGGGAGTTCGCCCTGGGGAATCCTTGCTCCGCTCCCCACCTCTTCTCCTCAAAGGCCCCAGTGTGGCTTGTGGCACGCCAGCTAAGTGGCCAGGTCACAGCTGATTTCAGTGCTGGGTGGGGAGATCTAGCTCTGCACCCCTGTAGAGCACCCTGGGGGTTGCTCTGGTGAATGTCACTTTGGTGCAGGGGCCAAGGTTCAGTTCCCAGCTGGGCTGGTGAAGTCCAAGGCGCCTGATTAACACTAAGGTGCAGGTAAGCACGTTGCCCCGGACTCTCATACAAACACCAGCGAACTGGCCACCCACACTTGGCCCGGCAGAGCGGCTTCTCGCTCCGGAGCGTCCTTCCGTGCAGCTCTCTCCAAGTGGCTGAACTGGGAGTCCAGAGATCGGGGTTAAATTCCCAGCTCACACCCAGACTCGCAGCGGTATGTGACCTTGGGCAAATCTGTCTCGTGCCTCAGTCTCCCCCAGCTGTAAAACGGGGAT